ATCAGATCTCTATAAATTATGGCACATGCAATCCCTATCATATTATATCTGTTGTATGTGGAAGCCGATTATGGTTAAAAATAATAGTTAATGCTAAAAAAGGTGAAGTTTATTTTGCAATATTTGTCATGGATTAGCTTTCTGTGAGTTCAAATATAACTGTATTCTTTGTTATATTGTAGCATTCACTGTCTTTCTGATAGTAACTTGTGGATGGTCTTTTCTCTGCACCAGATGGGAAGATATTAGCAACTGCGGCTGCACAAATGAAGATTTTCAATTTGTCTGATCACAAGAAGATACAGAAGTTTTCTGGCCATCCGGTGAGTTTTATTTTTTATTCCTTTTTCTTTTACCCTTTTTCTTCTTTGGGTGCCTAAACATGAGTACATGTTAAAGTCGGCTTATCTTCTAATAACTTTTGTTGTTTTACCACTGTTCCTAAATGTTTAAGCTGTTAGGATTTGACTTGTGGGGCAAATTTTATTATTTATTTTTAAATTTAACTTTTAACACTCCCTCCTCACATCTGGGTCTCTTTCCACCACTAGAGAGTTCAATATGTGAAATTCAACATTATTAGAGATTGCATTTGCAGGGATTTGACTTAGGATTGCCTACTTTGATACCTGGATAAATTTTTTTGTTTACCTCCCAAAAATTCCAGCTATCAGAAGGTTAAACTTTGCTTTTTATATTTAGCATTTTCTTTAATCATTCTTTCTTAATTTAATAATATTTACTCACCATTCGTTAGGGAGCTGTTCGCTGTATGATCTTCAGCGAAGATGGGAAGTACATCCTCTCATCTGCAGTTGGTGAAAGGTATATTGCAGTATGGAATATAGGTGGTGGAAAAAAGCAGTCAGCAAGTGCTGTTCTTGCAATGGAGCACCCTGCTGTCTTTGTAGATAGCAGGTGCATAGACAGTGGTGAAGTTGGTGATATAGGTCTATCTGTATTAGCGATTTCAGAAGTCGGTGTTTGTTATTTTTGGTTTGGAAAGAATATTGAAGAATTGCGGAATGCCAAGCCTACAAGAATTTCAGTATCATCTGAAGTCATTTTGACCAAAACTCAGAAGGGTGCAGTAACTACAATATTTGCTGCGGTTTTGCAAGGAATTGTAAAAGCTGCTTCTGGGCAGATATTTGTTGCTTATGGATTACCAGTGAAGCCATTATTCCAGAAAATTTTGGTACATTCTGGCACAGACATAGAGTTGAGTAGCTCCCATGATGGGGTTCTTCTACCAATGAGTCAGTCTCTTGTCAAATCTAAGAAAGGACAAAATGTACAAAATAGAGGTATGACATTCTCACAAGAAGTTTCCCCCCTCTGCTGGAAGATATCAAAATCATAATTTTTTTTTCTTTGCTCAGATGATGCACTTCTGGAACTTTTTTTTTTCATTAACGTTATTGTTTATTTATTTTGCCGATAATCCTCGCCTGAAAAGTTGTTACATTTTCTGCTCCTAGTTTAATGCTACTTACTTTTTCTTCTTCCTGATTCTTGATAGTTAATGATTAGCTGACTTATTGTGTAATGATCCAACAGTTATTGCATTAGATCGTGCAAATGCAGAAGATGCCTTGCTTCCAATTCCAAAGATTTTTGATTCACACGAGAAAAAGAAAAGACATGAAAAATTAAGTTTTGGCAAAGATGAAGTAATGGCTGCTTTGGATAACAGCGGGAGTCATGCTGGCCTTATGAAGAGCAAAGGTGGGCACTATATTCACTCAGGAATGCATTTGAAATTTTCCTTATGTAATATAAGTAATCTTATATAACTAGTAAGGCTTGTGAAGTGATGGCGGCCATATTAATTTCTACCATCCAATACTTTTAGGGTAATCAACATGTCTTACTATATGTTATTTGACATCTGATCATGAAACGTGTATCTACTTTGCCTGGTTCATATGTTCTGCTGGTATGTGCAGATGACATGGTAGAATTTGAAGCTGACACTGCAGCAATTTGCATGGAGGACCGACTGAGATCATTAGGGATACTTAGCAAAGCAGATGACCTTACAATTAACTCTACACTCAACTCTGCAACATTCAAGAGTATTGATCTTCAGACTAATATGCCACAGAAGAAGGTTTGTTTATTGGTTATATATTTGCGTCCGTACGGTGGTTTGATGTTGTACTTTTTATATTATTATCTGCACTTCCTGATTTCTCCCTCCTTTAATTATGTTCTGATCAAATACTTATCATCTATCAGATGAGGGCAGCTGTTTTGTCATTAGAACCTAGTGACGCATGCAAGTTATTGGGAGTCTTGGTGGCCATGTGGCAAACAAGGTTTGGTCTTCTTGTTCTTATTACATGCATGTAGATTTATATATGCCCTTTTGGTCTTTATGAATGTTTATTTTGGTCTTATACAGACAATTTGCATCTTAAATGCTATTTAAGTTAAAGTGTGCATGTATCAATGCGTGTATGCATGTATGTATGTTTCCTCTGTGTGTGTTTGTGAGGATGGAAAGAACTATGAATCCCATAATATCTGGTTTGCTAATAAGGACCTGAATTTGACATGTGATTTGGTTTTTAAAAACAGTATATTTATGTTTTATGCTAAAGTGATAGTTTGCTTCATCTTTATGTTATTTTTATCCATTTTAAATCATTACAGTATTAACGAAATATGACTTGAGTTTTAATCTTTGATTATCATTAACAGGTCTAGCAGTGGGAATTATGTTCTTCCATGGATATACAGCATATTGGTAAATCACAGTCATCATATCATGTCTCAAGAACCTGAAACCCAGATGCTTAGCTCCTTGCTCAAGGTAAAATTTTGTGACCAGTTAATATTAGTTTATTAATATTTACTATTTGCTCCCTCATTTAATTTTTATCATTATAGTAGTATGCGAACTTGAAATGAAATGTGGCTTGTTAAAGAAACGTTTAACCTCCCTCTTTCACTTCATATAATTGGTAATCCGGTAATACTGCAGAACAATATCAAAGACACTGTGTAAGATTCGTATTTGACGAAAATCTTCTGGTGAATATTTTCTGTGAAGGAATAGCCTTCTGTTTTTCTTAATCCCCACAATGCTGTGAGGTGCCTGGTTTAGTAGCCCATGCATATGGTACACCATAACCAGTTAACCCTTGATGAGCAAGGCCAACACCTAGATGACTCTTTGGTTACACTACCTTCAATGTCTTTTATATTTACCTTTACCTCTCGGATAAATATGACTTTCCACATAAATGCCACCTAGACCTAGGTGTAACTTTATTATTGGTCTTAAAGAGGGGGCATCATCCAGAACACTCAGTACCTCTTGAAGAAACAGACTCAGTCTTAAGTAATAATATATTGCATGGAGCACTTAATTGATGTTGTTATTCGTGCAGGTTACCAAATCCAGAGGGGCAGCTATTCAGCCTTTATTACAATTATCGGGTCGTTTGCAACTTGTGATGGCACAGGTTGACAATCTCACATTTTAACATGAATTCAGTACTTTTTTTTGTCCAATTTTGTTGATATTTTGATCATTGATAATTATTTTTGTGCTTTTGAAATAGATTGACAAGGCAACCCACACCAAAACTCAAGTGTTATCGCACGAGAACCAAATGGATGAAAGCGAAGATGAGGATGAAGATGTAAATGAAATCCACTATGGTGAGGAAGATGATGATTCTGAAATAAGCAGTGATGATGATCAGTAGTTGGATTTCCTGATGGGAGGTAATCAAACTTTGCCATAATAGCAATCTTTTGTCTTCCATATTATTTGTTACGATGCTTTGCATTTTTAGTAGAAAATATTGTATGGAGATAACTTTAGTGGACCTACACTATTTCTCCACGGTTTGATTGATTATTAGATAGATGGCTTAAGTGTAATTACTAGCACCATTAGGCTTATGAAGTCTCATCCTGTGGTTTCTGCTACTTAAGGAGTAGATGTATTCCTTTTAGTGTTGGAAGAGTGGCCCGAGTCTGTGAATGAGGGAAGTGATTCATTACGTTGTTCCAGCTGGTCCGTGTTTAGTTTTTTAAAGGATTAGAAAAATGTGAATGAGGAAGTGATTCATTACGTTGTTCCAGCTGGTCCATGTTTAGTTTTTTAAAGGATTAGAAAAATGTTTGTTGACATTGAATATATAATGACATGGAACATAATTCATGGCTTTTGGTTAAAAATAATAATTAAAATTTACATTTTGTTGTTCATAACTCGCCTTTTTTTGTACACTTGTAGTTGAATTAGGATAAAGAGGCTCGATGTGGTGCAGTCTGTTGAACATCTTGTGCCAGCTTATTGACTGTAAAGCTGGCAACATTTTGTGCTCGGTGTCTCGTTCCCAAGCTTAACTCCAACAGTTTTGTTTCCCTCCGGTTTACCCCTCTATCATGATGAAGAAACTCAGATTTGCCCCAAGATATCAATTATAATTTTCTTTTTTCTTCCTACATTTTCTCTGTAATAGCACAAGCACAGGTAAATCAGTGTAAATTTTGCTGCGACTTGCAAAAAGCACAAGCAATTTTGTATAAATTTTGTTTCCGCAGACTCTTTATCTTGCTCATAATCATATATCGTCTGTGCAATTCAAAGTCGTGTTTGAGTGCATTTAATGAGTCCAAAATATCACAAATTAATTATCTATACATAAACTGAGTTATAAGAAAGAGTGAAATTTCTGAAGTATTTCTATGCGTAATGAATGTGAAGCAAGTTTTACTCGGATGAATATTAAACCAGGGACCTCCTCTTTAGGGGAGAAGTTTGATTTTAGAAAAATGTTAGTGGTGTAGTAGATTCGTTGACGAGAAGAAACTGGAAATTGAAGTTTTCACTTCTTGCTTCTGCGGATACACGATTCGGGAAACTCAGGCTGGGGAAAGCTCTTTCCACTTTCCAAGTGCAGAAGTCCAAAGAGGAGATAATAATGAAAACAAGTAAATGTTTATGGACAAATGAAAGGCTGAGAAGAAGCATGGTCTTAAAAAGTACAGTTTTATAGAATTTCAGGCGGTATGCATTAGCTTGCTCTCTCACAGTGGAACTTAGGATCAATTCTTTCTTCACTTACAAGCTTGGAATCTCATTCTTCCCATAACATCATCACATGATTATTAGAAATTATATTTTCTCCCCTAAAAATATTCTCCATTAACTTTCTTGCCGAGATTGATTCCTTTGAGGAAAAAGATGATAACCCTTTAGCACCAAAACCTCTCTCTGTGTCTTTCTCTACATTACGGCACACGCATTCGGATTTTCGTCGCTAAAAATTGATGTGATATTCCCGTTGCTATTGCTGACATTAATGTGATGTTCCTCATTGTAGTAATTCATCCTACTGAGATGTGTGGGTTGAGGGGGTGGCTGGATATACTCATATTCAGTGACATAAGGTGATGGCCTGTATGTGTTGTAGCTGTGTGTTACATAGACTGGTGGCGTCGGTGTTGGGGTGGGGCCCATTGGGATGGGGGTAGGCTCCGGTGGATGCCCTTGGCTGTTATGGTATCTGTTCCAGTACCCAGTGTAGCCTTGAGAGTGGCCATATCTGTATCCATAATCAGGTGGATGATGGTATATGGTATGAACTTCTCCAACATCTCTTGGAGGGTGGTGCATTTGGTGGCCTGGGTTGGCTTCTGCAGCCACAGGTGCTGCCTCTGGTGTTGGAAGTTCTGGTGGTGGTGACTCTTTTGGTGGCTCTGCTGGTGGGGCTGCTTCGGCTGGTGGCACTGCTTCGGCTGCTGGTGGTGCTTGCTCTGCTGGTGGAGGATCAGCTGGAGCTGGTGCACCACCTTCTGGTGCTTCTTGTTCTGTTGGTGGAGGAGCAGGCTCTGTTTGTTGCTCTGTATGGGAACATATGGTGGCAATCTTCCTTGTTTTCTTAATGGCTTTGACTATCTTCTCAGGGTCTGCCCACCCAATTATTGTTAGCTTTTGTTGTGGGAAGTCAATGTAGAGGTCATATATACCTGTGGAAAATGAGAGTTCATTCAGTTTAGGAGGTAATGAATGACGGGTTTTTAGTGTAAAGGAAAACATACCAAAAGTATGTCATGAATTCTTACCATTGATGCCATGTAGTGCTTTCTTGATCTTCTGTACGCATCCATTACAGTCCATCCGGACATGTATCTCCGTCACTCGGGGTTTCTGCATTTGACACAAAAATTATGGTTAGAAAAATCAGTGTTGGATTGCATCAATACATGTCATGTGGAAGCAATGCAAGCCATACCTCTAATCCTGAAGCCATGAGAGGCAATGGAAAGAAGAGAGAAGAAACCAGCAGGAAATGCGATTAGTATGTGATGAAGAAGAGGCGGTGGAGGAGAGTATAAATGAAGAATCAATAGGTGGCATTTTATTTGTACACAGGCAAGGAATAATTGAAAGGCAAAAGATGTGGGGCATGCAAGGAATCTCCTTTCCACAAGAGAAAGATTGAAATATTGCAGATTGATTAGCCTCCAAAAAGCAGTGTCAAATCTTAAAGGCTGGAGAGAGAGAGAGAGAGAGAGAGATAGAGGCGTGGGTTCAAGAAAAGAGTCAGTTTTTTTGTATGGACATTGGAATGTTGAGAGCCCAAGGGAATTTGGCTTTATGATGGATGGCTGTGTATAATTGAGGGACGTCTGTGAGCTTATTAGGATATCCAAAACCGACCATAGAAAAGAAATTGAAGTTACCAGATTACATTTGTTTACATTTCCACCAGTGCATGGCTAGCTTTTCAGGCTTGAAGGAATTCCACTACTATGGAATCCTTTTGGCACAAGCAAAGATCAAATCTTACGTATTTGAAAATGACAAAAACTAATTTGGGGTTGGAAAGCATAAACCTCCTTTCATTTTAGTCGTAAAGGTTGACAGAGATTTTGAGGTGCAGATTCTTTCTCTTCATAATACTGCTTAATTGCTGTTTTGCTTTAGCAGAGTGTTGAGCTTGATCTTATTAAATTAAGTGTCAGCCTGGTGTGAATGGAGCTTAACCATTCTTGGAATTGATCGAATCTTTAGGTCCTATGGCACCGGGACCTATCAGTTTTCAAAGTCGTTTGACTTTGGTCATTGTAAAAAGAGGCCAAATACATAAATAAGTTTTTTTAAGTTATCTAACTAAATTGCTTGATGCTTTTGAGTTCAATTTTAGCCATTCTTTAGAGCATCTGCAATGGTGATTCAATAGTTCAATTTTGTCATCTATTGAATTGAATTGCAATTTTACTTGCAATGGTACAGTTCAATAGCTTCAGTTTATTGACATGTAGGTCCCATGATTAGCCTCTTGTAATTTAATAGAGAGTTCATCACATAGCACCCTCTATTGCAATTGCATCTATTGCAATGAACTAAATCACACAATTGCTAGTGAGATTTTACTGTTTTAGTTCGATTTCATGCAATAAAATTGCATTGATCCTAATCATTGCAGATGCCCTTTGTAAAAAAGGAACTGATATATAATTAATTAATATTGAAGCCAGCTCCAACCATCCAGCACCTACCAAGTGTCATATAACTAATGCATTATTTCTTATGATTGCTGAGATTAATGGCTTGCTTCCTTTAGGACTGTATATTGACCAAAATGTTAGTTGTCGGCAAGTTGTGCTCAGTTCGTCTTTTCTGTTATGTGGTTGTGTAGATGGACGCTTGGCATTGGCACGTAAAGTTGATTGCTGTTTGTTCTTGGACCAGCTTGTACAGAGTTAGGCTTCTCAGCTCTGAAATACAAAATAAACAACAACAAAAACAGAGCCAGCCGAATAGCCAAAGGACTCGCTTGGGATAAAAACAAAACAATTAAAAGGCTGCATTATACTGCGTCTGGTGGATGCATTCTTTCTGATTGAACAAAAAGACTGAAGCATGAAAAGTATTGGGGGTCAGAGGGAATATACAAGCTGGCTCTCGCTAAAGAAGATAGTGAAGAACATTGACGAGCTTTGCATTGAGTCATTGACCAAATTATTGAGGTTGCAAGCTGAAAACGAAGTCCATTTCCCTAAATAAAGAGTGAAGAAAATTGACTAGTTTTTTGTTATTTTTTTGCGATTTGAAACGTAAGGAATATACAGGCTGGTGGGTATGCTTTGCTTCTGCTAATGATATTCTTGTCTGGTGGTATGGTATTGTTGGCTGATGAATTTCCATCTGTGATTAGTGTTCACAGATGGATTCTATACTTCAAAAATATGGTCACAAAACTCAACAAGTCCACTAATATTTGGAACTTTGTCTTACAAATTACAATATTCTTGTTTTATTAATTATAATGGCAACCCTTGATGAAGGGTTCACAAGGTTCCTAAACAATGAATTCGCAGCAGTATATGTTGTTTATGTATATATAGGAGTAAACAGTTGTAACTATATATCCCCATAGCACTCAAGAGGTAGGCTTCCACAACTTTGTATATCCCCATAGCACTGTTCTTTCCTGATATGATTTCCTCTTCTTTGACCTCAAACTCCCCTATGGTGTTGTATTTACTTGTCATCTTGCAGATTGAGCTCCCATCACTGGCTGCCTCAAACTTGACCTCATAAGCAATCGAGTCAAGCTTGTCACCTAATGCATCCCCTTCAATCATGGTGTACTTGCACACAAAATTATCTTGGTCAAGTTCATCGATTCGGTGCTTCACGTATCTGAAATGGCTGGCTACATTGTAAACCAAACAAAGCATTCATTCAGACAAGAAATATTGCGAAAACTGCAGAACTGCTAAAACAAAAGTTTATCTGTTGTTTTTTTTATTTAAAAAATGTCAGATTACAAACCTTCTGTGAAGTTGACTTGTTCAATGCTTCCTGCTCCCCCATCTCCTTGAGTTACATCAACGCTTGCTATGAACTGGGGCAACAGCCTTGGTATCAAATTTTTAGAGTCTATGATCAAAGCCTTGAACATGCGTGCCGGGGCAATTGGGCACAGGAACTCCTGTGTAATACTTGTCACATCCATGGTATGCAGAATAGGAAGAGATAAAAAAGAGAGTATAGAGTGGTGGAAAACATTGGCAGTATATATATAGCTTAAGTTTAAGTGTGCGTTGGTGAAATCCATTTTGAAAAGAACGCATGATTAGTCATAGAATGTTTGTCAAGGTTTCAAAGTATTTTGGCCACTAAGTTAGACTTCAGATTCAAACTTCAAAGATCCTACTAAAGAAAATACATGTTTATGATATCAAACACATGGGCGGCTGTTACAAGATTGGGGCAGGATTTCAAGGGCTGGCACATTTAACCCAAATTCTGCCAATAACTGTAGCATATTGGTTCCTTATGAGGTCCAAGTTTTCTGTTGATTATGAATTTAACATGATGGAGTCGATTCCAGGATTATAAGTTCATTCCATATCGGATCAGTCCAGAATTATGAGAAGGGGTCATTCGAGTGTATCCCCTTAGAACAAAGTTCATGAGTAGTGGGCCGAGTTGATCCAATTCTAATTCATTTGTGAGTCAGCAACAAGTTGTGGTTGCAAATTACCAGATGCAGCCTGCAGTGAAGGGCAAGGCTGCAAATTGCCTATAGCCATTTGTGCATCAAGGCTTAACCTCCAAATATCATAAGGTCTACATGTTGCCTCAAGGGGTTAGATTGTGACAATTCCTATCCTGTCTAAACAATTGGTTAATACTTTCACGGGACTCATGCATGTTGACTGTTGACTGTTGACCAATTGTTTAGGTTTTATCTGGAACCACATCCATCACCAAGATTAATACAAAATAGATTGCCTACAAGAAGTTTTATATTTAACATGGTTTAATGAAATCCTACCTATATGTAGCAACAAGAGATGATCAATGATTTAAATCATAGAGAAATTATAAAAATACAGTTAAAAAAAAATATCCAATCCAACACCTCTGACCCAAGTTGTGAATTTTTTCTCTCACTCTCACTACTATTCAAGCAATACTTTTCAATTTCATCTGCATATTTTTTATGTTTCTGCAACTAAGTCCTTATTTGACCAGGTAAATCAGAACAAATAATTTACAAAATACAAACTGTTGACAGAGTCGAATTAAGAATTCGAGATGAGACTAGAGTTTCTATCTGTTTATCATGATTTCTGCTCTCCAATCCCTTCACTTTTCTTAGGATGGACACTGCTCATATATTTTTGTGTGTAAATGAAATTGGATGAACTATCTGATAAAGAAGAAAAAAAAATGGACGAACTACTTTTACACACCACAGAGATAAAATGCCCCAGATTAAGTAGATTATGACCAAAGTTATATATTCATCTGAATCACAATCTTGTGCAAGAACAAGAAAATAAAGGAAAGTTCAACAAGAAAAGCACTTCTGGAAAAGGGAAAAAAAAAACATGGAACAATAAAATTCTAAAAATGTATACAAAAACTTGAAGTTTTATTGGAAATTTTTAAGTGTAGGCACGAGGGTGTGCCATGAGGTAGGCTTCCAAAACTTCATACATCCCAATAGCTCTGTCTTTTCCAAGCTCAATGTCCTCTTCTTTGATATGTATATCATCTTTGGCTTTGTATGTGCTTGTCAAATTACAAATGCATCCTCCTCTGCCATATCCCTCAAACTTGACATCATAAGTTATGTATTCAAGCTTTTCCAGCAAACTATTATCTGCATCGGTTTCTATGAAAGTGTAGGTGCAACTGAGTGCCTCTTTGTCCAGAGCATCAATCCTGTGCTTCACATATCTCATAGGGCTAGCTACACATCCATCCCCAACAAAACCAAACATATCAGATATTATTATAATTATATTTCATTAAAAAAAAAATTAAGAAAGAAAAAGAGGGTTGACTTTGTGTTGCTAACCTTCAGTGAAGTTGATCTGTTTGATGGTTCCTACCTCCCCTTCACCTTCAACGAAATCAATACTTTTGATTGATGAAAACATGAGCTTGGGGCAGATGTTGTGGGCATCAAGGACCAAGGCCTTGAACATCCTCTCTGGAGTTACCTGAGTCACAAATTTCTGGCTCACTTTGGTGAACCCCATCTTGGCTTTTTTGCTTGATCAGAGAGAAAGGGTTTGTTGTGAGGAAGAAGATGAATGGATGATGTTTTGAGATGGGAATATGAAGGCACAACAACTTTTGTTTTACTATGAAAGAAGTTTTAGGTGGTGCCTGCCTGCGTGGTAATTGGTATGAATATTTTAAATCTTAATACAATCAAAATTCTAATGTACAAAATGGACCAAATGTAGCCTAAGGTGGACTTTTCAACTGGATGACTGCCAGTGACATGGAATTTCCATGCTCCGGACCTGTTAGAGTTTTATGGTCCAGCTGAACCAGTTGGCAGAAGGTACCTTTGGAAATAATTGATAATATACAAGATTCAAACAAAAATGCACATCAAGTTTTATATACAATATCGACTTTAAAAAGTCTGAATTGAATACACTTAGAATTCTATAGAACACGCTTGAATTTTTAAATTTCTTTAAAATCTTTTAAAATCTCAATTGAATAACCTATCAAGCCTAACATGTCAGGTAGTCTTCCCGTTGAATAAAAAATTCAAAAACCTTGCCGTCACGCTAGTGCATCCCTTTCTTTCTAGATTTCTAGATTGGTGGATGGAATTAATATATAATTATTTGAATTTGTTGTGGGGCATCGTTTGCATCCTCAGGACTTCCACTTGATACTTTCTAAATTTTTTTTTTCACATAATTGGTACACATTACATTACTATCTACGTGGCCCACACGGCTAAAAATAAAAAATAAAACAAGATATATATTTTTGCTAATAGTTCTTAAAATAGTTTTGGGTTTTGCACGGCCTACCAGCATTGGACTCAGGAACGGGTATAGAATTCAGCTAACAGGCCCAAAAAGATAGAAAAATGCAGAGTTTAAAGACAGTTTCTTCTGTATCGGCAAGGCGTTTGTAGCTCCCTTGAAGGAAAAAAAAAAGGGAGTTTCACTAAAACACCCAAAATGGGGGTTGAAATTATAAAAAAACCCAAGCACTATTTAAACATATAAACACACCCAAAACCCATCATTACACACTCAAAACCCATTTATAAACACACCCAAAAAGTTGACTTTAGGGTTGATTTTGGGTGTGTTTCTATGCTTAAATAGTGCTTGGGTTTTTTTATAAATACATGTCTAGGATTGAGTTTATTTATAAATTTGTAAAAAAAAAAGGCCATTATTCTTGTACTTGAGGTCCTGTGTTATCCTCTCTCCCCATATATCTTGTATTAAATAAATAAAAGACATTTTCCTGGGCGAAGAAGAAAAAGTATGATATTTCAATCAATATTATGGAGGAAGCTTATTTATTTATCACATTTCTTTGTTGCCAATCTCCAACGAATTGAGACTACAATTGTATATAATGGAGAAAATGTTCAAATCAAACCTACAACTCTATAGTGAGGGCCTAATAAGGCCTTAGATGAGACCTTATCTTTTAATTAAGGAATCAAATTAGTTAGCCATTAGATCAAATTAAGTAGTTTGATCAAATAATTAAGAGATATGACCTCGTCTAAGGGTCTTAGATAAGGCCCACATTACAGAATGACTCCAGCAACCAGTGTTACAAGCATTATTAAGCTAGTGAAAGCAAAGCCCAACAGAAATTTTCTTTTGGGTCTCTTCTCTTTGTACATTAAATTTAAGGCTTTAAGCATAGGCATCAGGGTTTAGGAGGAGGTAGGCTTCTACGACTTTGTACATCCCCAATGCCTTTTCCCTGCCAGCTTTTATATCTTCCTCTTGCAGCACAAAGTCACCCTTGGTGTGGTACTTGCTCACCATCTTGTTCTTACTACCACCATCTTCTGCAGCCTCAAACTTAACCTCATAAGAAACGTATTCAAGTTTCTCCATTACTAATGCATCTCCTTCAATCAAAGTGTAGCCATATACAAAGTTCTCTTCATCCACCTGATCAACACGGTTTGTCACAGATTTTAGTTGGCTACCTGCATGAAGAAAATAATCTTATAAAAACTTTGTAAATTATATAATCCAAGGTAATATTTTGTTGCCGGCCAAATTTCCAATCTCGCACTACACGTTCAAACAAATATTAATATGTAGTGCGCTAAATTCACAATATGATAATAGAACAATTCCCTAAAAATGTGTTGTGGTAACTAGCTAGACATGCCTTCGGCAAAGTTGATTTGCTTGATGCTTCCTGCCCTTCCATCACCTTGAAGGGTGTCAATGCTCTTAACAGCCTGAGGCATGAGGTTTGGGACAAGGTTGTGAGCATCAAGGACCAAGGCCTTGAACAACCTGGCTGGAGAGATTGGGGAAGTGTACTCATCTGTACACGTGATGACACCCATAGTAATTCAGAGAATTGAAGATATATGGTAAGAAATTATATCTTGGAAAGATGGGCTAATTTGTGTAGAGAGTATTAAGAAGCCTTGGTCAGTGAGGATGGTCCATGGGAAGTATATATAGGTTGAAGTTGAGACATCAATTCTTGTTCCTGAAATTTCTTCGGTTTGTTCGAAGACTTTTGTTTTGTGCAATATATTCTAAAATAATTTCAAGGGGCGACCTTTTCAAGGTTCATTTGCCTATAAGCAAAAGGAAAGGCAAAAGAGATCGAGCTGTGGATCTTGATGGCCTTGAACTTGGATACCCTATTGAACTCCCGTTGTCACCTATCAAAACAAGTAGATTGCATGATCGACATGGGCCAATGGACAAATAAGTCAGAATTTGGATTTTTTGAGGTTCACTATAATGACGGCAAATGAATTCTTAATAGGAGGAAAAAAAAAAAAAAACTAATTTGTTACGTGCCTAAGGTAAAGTAGTTTTCATTTATCTATATATATAGAGCAAAAGGTAGAGAATGGTGAAATATTTAAAATATCAGAAAATACTCTTAGTTAATGCAAACATTAAGAATTAAAATTATTAATTAAATGAAGATAATATGATAAATTCACACTTTTTCATATTAAAAAAAATTAAAATTAAAAGAAAAATTAGATAATAGATCATATTTTTATGGAACACAACTACTTATTATCTTTTTTAATTCTAAAATAAATTTAAATTTTTTTAAAAAACTTCTAATAAATGCGAAAGCGCATACAGAAAGGCTAGTAAAAAAAAGAAAAGACGAGGTATGTAGTTAAAAGCACAAACACTGACTTGTGTTGATGTTTTCAAGAGACAGCGACCTCCTTAATATCTGCTGTTTCGAAGCCATTCTGCCGACGACTCCACGATGTGCATTATTATAAGTTATAACAAACAAAATGGATCATCATGGATATAAAGTCTATTTTTTGTTTTTATTTTATTTTAAATTTCTTTATATCCTATTGTACGGTTGTTTGCTTTATTATTAGTTCAGTTGAATTTGTATACTGATCTCGAATATTGAGTTCTAAATTGTAACGAAATTGATAGTCTAATTTTCGTGTATTTATTAGTCACAAGTTCAACACAACCTTTAATCTTATCTTAATTATTCTATAGCTAGTAACACCTAGGATTTGTACAAATTTAATCAAATTCAACTAGTCAAATTGCTCCAAATCTACTTGCATTTGTTTTCACTTGCTTCTCAATCCCGCTAAGATTTGAATTATTTTTATAGAGTATTTTTGCTCATCACTTTAACCCAATGTGTACTCTCTTTCACCATCATTCTTAACACTTGACACATGTTCATAATCATGGTTCTACAAATACAAAGCAAAGAGCTAATCATTATTATACTGATGAACATTTGTAAAATGTTAAGAAATGTGATGAAGATATATCTTAGGTTAAAGTGATGAGTAAAAATATTTCTAGCTATACGGACAAATTTAAATTAATGGTGTAAAATACTCAATAGTTGTTCAAATGGTTAAAGAGGCAATTAAGGTTGAGTCACAACCAAGATAGCGATCAATATATTTACAGACAGTTGTATTTTGTTTGTTTTTCATTTTCTTTTTCAATTTCCTTCTTTTCTTCTCCAGCTCAAACCTAAGACGTAGGTAGCTAGGAAGGATTCAAGTCTTGGTCGTGTACAACATGTTGTAACATTTAGCTCTCATGACCTAGTCTTTGAATTCCCGATATGTACGTAGGCCCGATGGCGTGACACCAATAAAATAAAATAAACTAAAATCTAATAACCAACGACTTTTCAAAGATGTTATTTGGAAGCAATCGGGTAAATTTAGAGAAGTTTCCATAATTTTTCTAATTAAATAGCTCTTTGTAGTAGTATCGTATAAGGTTTTTTAGGTTTTAGACATAAAAAAAATTTCACTTTTGGAAAAAGCCAAAGCTTTTTCAAAAAAGACAAAAAAACCACTCAACTTTCAAATCAAAGACATGCAAATGTATTGAATTCCTTAGGAAATCTAAAAATAAATAAGGGCATTTTTGTCCATTTTTGCTTCTTTTAAAAATTTTCTCTCTCCTTTTGCTTTTTCCAAAATGTCCCTTTTGTATAATGAGTGACAGGGCAGAGCCAGCATGGGAACAATGTGGTCCCAGCCCCCACTTCATTTTCATCTTTTTTATTTGTATGTTATATATCATATATAATATTATAATATATTAGATTAGTTTTAGGATATTTATTCTAAAATAAATTAATATATTATGTTTCTTTTTGGTCTACAAACAAACCATAAAATTTCTTGATCTCTCTTTTATTAAACTCCTAAAGTTTATGATATTTGCAATATAAACTCCTAAAGTTTTAACTTTTTTTTCTCTTCCTCTTTTGTTTAAAGCTTTGCGAATTTTTTATTTTCCTCATTTTTTCTTTCATGTATGAGTTGGGTACCTTAATATTGCGCGTTATGAACTCCTTTTGTTTTTCATTTCTTTTCTCCGTTGGAATATAAATGATTAATTTTTAAGTCTTTAATAGTATAGATGATGGCATTAGTATTTAACCAATTTAAAATATGAAATTCATGATAATTAATTTATAAAGAGAATACAAATTTTATAAATGATCTCCTCTAATATGAAATCCTGACTCTGCCACTCATGAGTGATTAGGAAATCTCATTTGCTTTAGTTTTGTTTGTGTAGACTTTTTTTGTATGATTCGGTTAATTATACTGGATTAATTAGTTTGATCAGTTCTTATTCTTTTGATAATATCTCTTCTTTTTTTAATGTCGAAAGAAATCTCAAATTTGAATCTCTCCGCCCATTTGATTTATATAACTTCCGTTCACAAAAATAGTTTTTTTAAAAAGAAACCTTAGTCGACACTTGACGTGGGCTAAATCCCGGTCTAAAGTCACCCGATCTTGGGGCCAAGAAAGTCGTCTGAAGATAGCCCTCTCTGTGAATTAATTCTTCCCTGTCTAATACGATAGAATTTGCATTTGGTCACATTTCTAGACGGATGCACCAGGTCATAATTCAGAAAGCTTGTAGGACCCAGCTCCTTATCTGTTTGAATTTTTTTATTTTAAACCAAGTCGGTTCTTGTTTGTCTAGTTCGAGAAAAGAAAAAACAAGTTGGCTCCAAATCCTTGCAATTATACTATATAATATATTACTCAGTAGTAGTGGTCTTTAATTACTTTAGTTTATCATAAGAGGTTTATGATAATTGCTCCTCTACTCTTTAATTACTTTAGGTTATCATATAAAAATCTGTCCTAATTAAAGTAAAAAGTATTACGCATGTACCGGCCCTAATGTTTGTCTATCTGCACCCAAAGTTTGCCAAGTTCTTGATTTCAACGATCACTATCTTATCAAAATGTGAAGGCATGTGATGTGATGAATGGTTTGTTTTTAGCTTAGTTGTTGCCCAAATGGGACTCAAGAAAACTTCCGACTTTGCAAACCCGTTGAATACTCTTGTAATTTTGTTTTGTTTCGACATCGGGTACATAAGTAACTGATCTTAACCATTTAAATTACAAATATCTTACGAATAATCTTTGCATTTTAGTAATATAGAGAGCCATGAAAATTCTTCTTATAGCCTCTTGGGGTAGGGAAGTAATTAATTCTCAAGTTGATCATGTGCAATAATTGATTACGCTGCAAATTTTATATGGCACAATATAGAACATAGTTTTTAGGAAATTTACTCACTGCACTAATTGTTTGCAAGTAAAACATTTCATTACAAGGAAGTTCCATTATATAATTTATTTATAGAAGATAAATACACTGTGCTCTGCAACTTGATCCAAACAAAAACATCAAAAGCAACCAGAAGATCACAACCCATACACACTTATTTTCAAGCCCAAGTGCCCAACAACCCTGTGGCTACTTTGGACTGACTAGAAAGCAACAAGAAAAGCCACACAAATCTTCTTCGACTGATCAAATAGCAAAGGCAAGACCCAAGCATCACAGAGACATCTGATCAACTTAGTTGTAGGCATCGGGGTGGCCCTTAAGGTAGGTCTCAATGAGCTTGAAGAGATTTGAGGCCTTCTCTTTGCCAGCCTTGACATGCTCTTCCTTGATCTCAACATCTCCCTTGGTGTGGTAGTGGCTGATGCTCTTGATGATGGATCCTCCGCTGGGGGATGCCACCAACTTGGTCTCGTAAGAGATCTTCTCAAGATTGTCTCCCAAAGCATCTCCTTCGATCAAGGTGTAGCTGTATGAATGGTTTTCTTTGTCAATGGAGTCAATCTTGTGCTTCACGTAGCCGTACTGGCTGCCTGAAGAACAATAATAAAACATGTTCAAAGTAAGAATTCGACGACCTTGGTTTCATATTAACAGTCTGACAACATATATACTGTAATCCAAGTAATTACCTTCGCCGAAAGTGATCTTCTTGATGGTTCCGGGGCCGCCATCTCCTTCAAGGATTTCAGAATGCTTAATTGCCTGTGGAGCAATCTTAGGGACAAGGTTGTCAGCATCGAGGACAAAGGCCTTGAACAATCTTGGTGGTGGGATCTCAGAGGTGAACTCGCTCTCATATGTGAAGACACCCATGGTGATGATCAAAAGGTTGAGAATGAGCAAAATGAACAAACTACAAAGATGATGGTTTTAGAGAAGGTTGAGAGTGTGTTGGAGATGAGTACAGAGAGGTGGTATTTATAGATTTAGAGTGAAGGTTGGGCCTTGTGAGCTGTTCCCTTCAGATCGAATTTTGGGGCAAATTGTCATTTGATTATTGGAAGTCCCTGAATTAACAAGGAACTTCAAATTTTTAATATACAAATTATGTCACATATATATATCCCAACTTCCAGTATTTAATACATACATATCTGTGTCTGAGTCAAATAAAAGAAAGAAAAAAATAATAATAAAGGCTTTCTAGATGTGTTGGCACAACTTTTCCCCCTGATGATTACTGTTTCAAGAGTGCTTGTCAGATAATCGGACAGTCGGCATCTCATTTTAATTTTATGGTAAAAGTAGGAATTTTAGATAAAGATGGTGCTTTTTTCGAAAGCTTTTTCAAATTATCGGATATAGTTGAAGCCAAAAGGCAACCAAATGAAGAAAAACAAAATACACATGTCAGAAATTGTGACAAAATTGACCAAGAACAATAATTTGGCTTGGCTTGGTATTTTTGGTTTTTGTAGCTGCTTTTTTTTTTTTTTTTTTTTTTC